TTAACAGCAGGACATAAACTTGTAACAAGTTGAAGGACTGCTGCGTGCACATTTTAAATATTTGAAGATGTTATCTCCATAGTTTATGATGATGTATGCAAGTACAAAGATGGTATCTGCAGACATTACTGTTTTAAATAGATCTGTCTCCTTTAATCCCAACACTGAAATATTCGCCATCATTCAGAATAGATCTGTTACTTATTCTCTCAATGCTAAATGTACACTTTGAAATACAATATTCTTGAATGTGCACTTTGCATTTTTTTTAAAAAATCCTTTACTTGCGGATCTGCTACCAATTGTTGCTATGTGATTGGCTGCTTGCCAAAAGGTGCAAAAGAGTGATTTGTAGTAACTTTTTATCAATAAAATATGCTCTTCTCATTTTCCCAAAGTGAACACTAGTGAAGTTTCGAGAGTTGCTTTGTCTATTGATAAATTATACCTTGAACATCCCATCCTCGTCTGGCTTCAATGGCTGCCCATCCCCCAGAGGATCGAGTTTAAGATTCTCATCCTCTCTTTTAAAGCCCTCCAGGGTCTTGCTCCTTTCTCCCTGCCTCTGTGACCTGCTAAAACCACACCAACCCACCCGCTCCTTCCGCTTGACGGACACTGGCTGTTCCACACTGCCCACCCCACCATCAGCGGTCAGGCCTTCAACCACTCTGCTCCCACCCTCTGGAACTCCATCCCAGAATCCATTTGACTTGCCGCCTCCAGGGCCTGCTACAAGGCCCGTCTCAAGACCTTCCTTTTTGGCCAGCTTTCGATCATCACTTGCAATTCGATCACTTGCCCTGCACCCCAATTTGATTCCAACCCCAGCTCCTGTGCAAACCTTGACTGTCCAGCACCTTGGGACACATATTCTGATGTGAAAGGAGCTATAAAAATGTAATTTGTTTTTGTTGTTGTATATTTTACTTTGTGGCACATTAACTTTGTACACCAAACTGGAGATACCATCAATATTACACTATTTATTGTAAAAGTGCAACACTACTTGTTTCATATCCAGTATCTTCAAACAAAATAATTTGCCTATATTGAGCACATAACAGGTATTATATTATGTGCACAATATAATATAATACCTATTTTATATAGGTAATATATTATATGGAGAAGAAATGAGAATGAAAATTGTGAGTGCATTAGAACAAACCAAACTAGCCAAAGAGAAAAAAAGTACAAAGCACTACAAAAACAAAATAAAATGACTTGTTTTGGTTCCTTAGTCACCAGTATTTAACCCATATGTGTGTGAGGCCAGACTTTAAGTATTGGGGTGAAACCTTAGGTTCGATTCCCGAGCAGGGAATGCAGTCTGTTTTTGATTGACGTCCGCACTCACCCTGACTGTTAGCTCACTCGACAAGACCATTGATTAAATATTGATGATAATAATCCTTATATTTGATCTAATGACTTACATGTCAGGACATCTCAAAACGCTTCACAGGATATACTGTAAAGTGTAGCGACTCTATTTTATAGGTAAACACAACCAATTTGCCCACAGCAATGTCCCACAAACAGCCATGAAGCGAGTGACCAATTTTTATTTGGGGGATTGTTGGCCAGGACACTGGGAGAAACTTCTTTCTCTTTTTAAATAGTGCCATGGGATCTTTAATATCCACCTGACCAGGCAGACGGGACATTGGTTTACAATTCATCCAGAGGCCAGCACCTCCAACAATGCAGCAAATACCCCCAGCACTGTATTAGAGCGTCAGCCAAGACTACAAATTCAAAGTCCTGATGTGGGTCTTGAACCTAGTATCTTCTGATTCCAAGGCAAAAGTGTTACCAAATGAACCAGGCCGAAACTAAATCACTCAACCACTCACTAGCTTAGTCATTTTTCGTTAATTAGAAACGCCATATGGCTCGCAGATTTTCTTTAAAAAAGCTCTGTGATGTTAAACTTTTAGATGTTTAATACATAGTGCCCACATACATTTTATTATGGTTGTTTTCTTTGAATAGTGTCCTGTCATAATTTAATCTCTTTGATATTTTTGTTAAGAGTGAATTGTTTGTTTATCTGAATTGTTGCATAATTTTGGGGGTAAAATATTTGGGTGTATTTGATCAGGTCCTTTTCATCTTTCCTGTTTCTATATGTAAAAGGCATTGTTCAGAGGCAGTCCAGGAGCAAGCATTTTGATACAGTGCTGTCAGTACCTCATTGAATCAGTCACTGTTGAACCTAGATGGTAACTATTTAATTCTGAAAACTACCAAGCTGAAAGAGATCCTGTCCTATCTAATATTGCAGACTGGAAAAAGGTCACAAGGTAGAGAGCAGGAAATTCCACTCTACATATCATGCCCATGCCCCACTTTGGGCACAGGAAAATTGAGTTCACCTCTTAGATCAAGAGTGAAATGTGCATCTTTATGGATGGTATGGCTCACTACCACACTGATGGGATACTTAGACACTGAGCCACAGTAGTTGATGATCAAAACTACAGCTACCTGAAAGCACAGAGAAAAAGATTGAAGGATGGGATGGACTCAAGGATGAAGTTTCCTGGAGAGGGGGCAGAATAGCTGCAAGCTTGCACACTGATGATTGGCCAAGGGACATGAAGCAGGCTGGTGTTTGCTGAGTTGAGGCAGTCAGTAGGGTAGCAGAAGGTCACAGAGATAGGAGGTGGCGAGAGCCAGGAGGCGATTTGAAAGTAAGGATGAGAATCTTTAATTTACTGGGGGATGGAATTAGAGGTGATGAGCTTGGGGGCCTGGTGCAGGAGAGGACGCAGACTGCAGGGTTCTGGATGGTTTGCAGCTTTTGGGAGATCATCTGGGGAGTCCGGCGAGCAGGGCATTGGAATAATCGATCCTGGACATGGTGAAGCACTTTAGGTGAAGACTTGTTGATATTGAGCTGTAGAAATTTACAACTCATCCAGGATTTGATGTCTGACAGGTAGTTGGTCAGACCAACGTTGGTCCCGGAATTGAGGTTAAAGGTGGAGAGAGGGAGTGGGATGTGAATGTGAAAGTGTATCCCAGGTTTAGATTTAGAATAACCATTGTTATATTGAAACATTTTTGATGAAATTGTGCAATAGTTTATCAATATAAGGAATTGACAGCCAGATTACTCCTCTTCCCCTGCCCCAGCACTTTACAAATTCGCAACTTACAGCTAAAAAAGTGGAGGATTGATTGGTAGTGACCAGATTCATAGCCTGGAATCTGTTCTCCTGTAATTAGCTAATTGCAATTTCATAGATTCATAGAATGTTACGGCACAGAAGGAGGCCATTCGGCCCATCGACTCTTTCCTTGGAAGAGTAGGACACAATACCATCTAAGCATGTTTTAAATATGTTGCTTTAAATAATAATAATAATCCTTGCATTTGGTGGTATTTTGGCAATAAAAATCCTTGCATTTGGAACATCTTAAAACGCTTTACAGAATATATGGTAAAGTGGATTGACAGTGCATTTTGTGGGCAAAACATGACAGCCAGTGTTCCACAAATAGCCATGGAGTGAGTAACCAATTGTAATTGGGGATTGTTGGCCAGGATAATAGGAGAAATGGGAAATGGTGATTGTATTTCTGGATTTATTCATGGTTGAAACCTTCAAACCCTAAACCCCAAAACTCAGTGCTCAACCCCCAGATAAGAGGGCATGAATTGGAAGATTTTGATGAGGTGAGTAAAAAGTAAGGTCTCGAGGCTTGTCAGTGTAGGATGATTTGTTAGGGATCACTGTATAGGATGATTTGTCAGGGATCACTGTATAGGATGATTTGTCAGGGATCACTGAAAAGGATGATTTGTCAGGGATCACTGTAAAGGATGATTTGTCAGGGATCAGTGTATAGGATGATTTGTCAGGGATCACTGTATAGGATGATTTGTCAGGGATCACTGTATAGGATGATTTGTCAGGGGTCACTGTATAGGATGATTTGTCAGGGGTCACTGTTGGACCAGAATTGCTTGATGACATTTACAAGAGAATTTAGATTAGTTTTGGTTCCTCTGCAGGTCTCTGTGATCTTACTGTTCTATTGCTGAAGTTGAGGAAATAAGGAATTAGAAATGATTTTTCCTGTACAGGAATCCTAACATTGCTCCCATGTCTACATGGAAAGGAATTCCAGGAATTTCTCTTTCCTGAGTTGACTCTGGTACAACAACAAAATTACATTTGTAAAGCGCCTTTCACATCAGGAGGATGGCCCAAGGCGCTGGACAGACAGTTTCAGACCAGAGATGGCGGTTGGGATTGGGGAGGGTGGAGGGGGGGAAGTAGGGTGATTGAAAGTACGGTCGAAGAGGAGGGTCTTGAGATGGATCTTGAAGGAGGCAAGGGAGGGGGCGAGGGGAGGGACTGCGGGATGGAGTTCCAGAGGGTGGGTGCAGAGTGGCAGAAGGCCCACCTGCCATTAGTGGGGTGAACTAGGCAGGGGACGTGAAGCAGGACAGAGCCCACTGAGCGGAGGGAGCGAACAGAATGGTAGGGGGTCACAGAGGTAGGAGGGAGCAAGACCATGGAGGGCTTTGAAGGTGAGAACCAGGATCCTCTGTGTGATGGGAAGCCAGAGGAGTTGGGCAAGGATGGGGGTGATAGGGTCGCGGAGCCTAGTGCGGGAGAGGACACAGGCTACACAGTTCTGGATGATCTACAGCCTATGGAGGGAGGAGTTGGGGAAGCCAACAAGCAAGGAGTTTGCATAGTCGAGCCTTGAAGTAATGAAAGCGTGTATGAGGGTTTCGGGTTGAGTGGGTTGAGTTCTAGCAGAGTCCAAATGGTCCATTAGAAAGGAGGCGTTTCATAGCCCAAATACTCCTTTTCCATCTTATATTAAATTCCACCTATTCAAACTTTTGACTAAGATACATGTGTTTGAAGGTTATATGTTTGTCAAATAGAATTTGGAGAAATTTATTTTGATTCATGGAAACTCCACTTTACCAGTACATTTCTGATCAACATATGTTGATTTTGTTTTTACAGATGGTCCCTATGGTATATTTGCTGGCCGAGATGCTTCTAGAGGGCTGGCAACTTTCTGTCTTGATAAAGATGCACTTAGAGATGAGTTCGATGATCTGTCTGATTTAAATGCTGTACAAATGGAGAGTGTTGGAGAATGGGAGATGCAATTCATGGGTAAGTATTCTTCTTTTCTAGTTGTATTCAACATTGTAAACTTGTTCCATTTTAACCCGTTACATTAAAGAAAAAAAGTTCGAACTGAAAGTTGAATTCAACTAAATTTTTGTTTCGTCAACTGGATATCTGACATTCTGACCCATCAGAATGCTTAACTGTATCCAAACCAGACAGTTTCATGCATGCCAAGTACACATATACTTTCCCCCTGGAGGAATGACCCTTCATACCTAATTCCAAATAGTATTCGATACAGACTGTTGAGAGTTTTCTGATGGGCATCTTACAACAACAATAACAAAATTACATTTATAAAGCGCCTTTTCGTCGGGAGGACATTGAACAGTCAGCGATCAGGACCCGAGCGTGGGGGGCAGGGTTGGGATGAGGGAGGGCATAAGGGGTAGAAGGGCGGCTGAAGGCATAGTCAAAAAGGATGGTCTTGATTCGTGCCTTGAAGGAGGCAAGAGAGGGAGCAAGGCAAAGGGATTGTGGAATGGAGTTCCAAAGAGAGACTGAAATACTATAAATATCTTACCCTTTAAGAAATTTCTTTGTCACCATGTAAAGTGGTTGTGATCTTCAACTTTACTGTGCACATAAGATGAAGCTCCTTTAGTTGTTTTTTTTCTACTGGGGCATCAACCAAGAGGAATGGGGAACAGATAGGTACTTTCTATTGATGGATCAAAATAAACTATTAAAATCAAGTCCTCCATCAACCCAGCATCTGAAGCAGACAGTGCAGTGCCAGGTTTTAATGGTTGGATGGAAAATCTACTCAACCATGTCAGAACAAAATGTAACGTCATCACCCACCTGCCCCTTGTCACCCACCACCATGCCCTCTCTGTTCCCCTCACCCTCCCCATCATCTGCTCCTACCAGCACCCCCATCCTACATTCCTTCCTCCCCATCTCTCCCTCCTCCTTCTCACCCACCATCACCTCCATGAAACCCACCACCTGCTGCGTCGACCCACTCTCCACCAACTTGCTGGTCACCCAGCTCCCCCTCCTCTGCCCATTACTGGCTGACGTCATCAACCAATCCCTCTCCTCCGGATCAGTCCCTGCCCCCCTCAAAACTGCTGTCATCACCCCCTTCCTCAAAAAACCTTCCCTAGATCCCTCAAACCCCAGCCACGACCACCCTATTTCTAACTTGCTATTCCTCGCAAAAGTCCTAGAACGTGTTGTTGCCAATCAACTTTGTGCACACCTCTCCTCCCACTTCCTCTTTGAACCCCTCCAGTCCAGTTTCCACCCTACCCACAGCACAGAGACTGCGCTTGTGAAAGTCACAAACAACATCCTCTCTATCTGTGATCAGGGCTCCCTCTGCCTCCTTGTCCTCCTGGATCTCTCCGCCACGTTCAACATAGTCGATCACACCATCCTCCTCCACGGTCTTTCCTCCGTCATCCACCTCAGTGGGACCGCACTCATCTGGTTCGAGTCCTACCTCACAAACCGCCAGCAGTACATCTGCACAAACGGCTTCTCCTTCCGCTCTCACCCGGTCACCTGTGAGGTACCCCAAGGATCCATCCTTGGCCCCCTCCTCTTTCTGATCTACCTGCTCCCTCTTGGGGAAGTCATCCACAGACATGGGTGAGAATACTTCCACATGTATGCGGACGACACCCAACTCTACTTTTTCACCTCTTTGCGACCCCTCCAGTCCCCTGATGTTCTGTCAGCCTGCCTGTCAGATCTCAGGGGCTGGATGAGTGCAAATTTCCTTCAGCTGAACGTTGACAAGATGGAAGCCATACTCTTGGCTCTCGTCAACATTTAAACCTAACGGTTCTCACCTCCTTCACCTGCCCGACCTCCGCCTAAAACTCTCCGAACTCATACGCAACTTAGGCGTCAGATTCGACCCCCAATTATCCTTCCTCCCCCACATCCGGTCCCTCACCAGCACCGCCTTTTTCCACCTCCGTCGCATCGCCCGTCTCCACCAATACCTCACCCCAAAAGCCGCTGAAACCCTGGTCCATGCCTTTGTCACCTCTTGGCCGGTCTCCCATCCACTACCATCCATAAAATCCAACTCATTCAAAACTCTGCCGCCTGCATTCTCACCCGCACGAAACTCCGCTCCCCGATTACCCCAGTCCTTGCCAGACTGCACTGGCTGCCTATCCCAGAGAGGATCGACTTCAAGATCCTCACCCATATCTTCAAATCCCTCCCCTCCTCCGCACCCCCCTAACTCTCTGACTTCCTCTCTCCTCAAAACAGTGCCCGTTGCCTTCGGTCCTCAGGGTCTGACCTTCTCCTTGTCCTCCGAGTCCTCCGTTCCCCCATCAGCGACCGTGCCTTCTGCCACTACGCTCCAAGGCTTTGTAACTCCCTTCCTCACTCCCTTTGCCTCGCCCCCGCTCTTCCTATTTTCAGGTCTCAGCTGAAGACCTTTCTTTTCGACCGCGCCTTTGGTCACCTTCCTCCCCTTCCCCCTGGCTCGGCCCCGGGATCCGTTACTGTGAAGCACTCTGAGACGCCGTCCAGCGTGGAGGGCACTATATAAATCCAAGTTGTTGTTGTTGTAACGTCTTCAATGACTTAACTAAATCGTGTCAACTCTGATTAGTTCCAATAACACAGTTAGGAGTGAAACAGTGGCATTTTAGAAACTTGTATACTTAAATTACTTTATGCTGGTTTTATATCCTTATTCAAACATCTTGTAGACCAAAATACCATTCAAGATAAATTCTTCACTATTTTTCCATAATAGGGTTTGTATATTCTGGCTATATGGTACATTAATTAACCAGTGAACCAAAAAGGCTTTCAGTGTGATTCTAAAATCAGATTTGAATCCTATTGAGACCATTTAATGTTCCCTTTTTGGAATAAGTAAACCAGTCCAGATTTGGGGTTGAGGTATTTTTTTGAATAGTTCACCGCTAGCTCTCTGGATCTTTGCAGATTAGAGAATTGCTTAACTTCCAGTATCACGGAGTGTGGATATACTGACTCAATTTGAAATGTTGAATGATCTGCATTTGGCCTAGATTATTTATCTCATTATGAATATAATTTATTAAAAGGTTTCTTTTAAGTTTTTTTTAAATTTGCTTAAAATAAAATGATGTACAAACTGTACAAATGATGTACAAACTACAAATGTACAAACTGTGCCTGTTTGGAGAGTAGCTACATGTTCACTTCCTCATCTTTCTGTTTGCTGAACTGAATTTCATTGGGACTTTTCTGTTTTTATAATTAAGAACATAAGAATTTGCTTGGCGAAAGAAGACCAAGCTCCATCCAGTTCGCCTTCCACCATCCTGGCAGTTGTCATGACACGTCATGTCCCAAACTATATACTGTATCCCCAGATATTATTCCCTAACAGAAAGCTACCTAATTTGTTCTTGAAAGAATCAACACTTACTACTTCCATCGTCTCCCTAGGGAGCCTGTTCAATAGGTTTACTACTCACTTACTGAAGCAGTATTTCTGTACATTTGTTCTGAATTTACCCCCTTCAATGGCCAACCTGTACATCACTGATGATACTGTATGTACAATTCCCTCTTGAACACATCATTAATCACTAATTGAAATAATTAGGTGTTCCAAAACAGTTCATTTGTTGGATTATTGCTAATTGTGTGAAAATGTCAATTATAACCAAACCTTTCTGTAAACTGGCATAAACATTTAACCTTATATTGTTATTGCAGATATTTACCCCAGGCAAAATCTATCTTAAAACAGGGTAACACTAATATAGTACTAAACCAGTATACAGTGATACATCAATTGCCTTGTTATAGTTCTGCCTCGCTTATGGTGTGGTTTACTGTAGACTAGAAGCACAGTACACCTGCTTTTAGTGTTGACTTGCGAGCTTCCTTCATTAAAAAAATGCCCAACTTGCACTGGTTGCCACTGATGACACTTCCTATATGTACAATTCCCTCTTCAACACATCATTAAGCACTAATTGAAATCAATTGTTCTCAGTTTCCATGCCCCAAGTAATAGTTGGCAGCAACTTTAACACTGTCACTTTGCTCCCTTAGTCTTAAATGGTCCTAACAATTATTTAGACTATGTTTAGAACAGAGTTGCAGTATATGGACCAGGCTAATAATTAGCAGGAAATTTGAAAACACATTGATGCTGGTGACCTGGTATACCTGTAAGAAGAAGAGAAATATCTCGGACATCATTATTACTACTTAAAGTTGCAGTGGCTATAGGAAAGCAATTTAAGTTTGTGTAGCAGAGCAAGCTGCTCAAAAAGTAAATTGTGTGAAAACACAAGGCATCATTTCAATTCAGAATGCATGTGTGATTAAATTGAATTCTCGTCTAACTTGCAGAAAAATATGACTATGTTGGCCGACTGCTGAAACCAGGGGATGAACCGTCAGAATATACAGACGAGGAAGATGTCAAGGAGCATGCAAAGCGCAACTGAACCCGTTTGTCAACCAAAGCATAGGCCTTCCCTGCTGCACACCATTTTACTCTGATTTCTGCAGCTTTGTTTTTCTTCAGAAGCTACAAATGATTGAATGCAAAATATATTTTGTAAAAGTGGTGATACTCTTGTGTGGAGATTTTACTTCAAATGTCTGGTATGTGCTGCCAACATTGTTTTGCAGTTGTTGTAACGCATCAGGTAAGGTTATGTTCATATTAGCAAAAAAAAAACACCCAAGAGTTATTTAACTTAGGCCATTAGTTTGCCAATATTGGAGGTGGGGAGAACGAGTCATCTGACATTCTGCTAATATCTTCAGAGACTTTAAATGGTGGTTGTGATTTGGGGGCAAGGCTCCCAAGTCATTAGTGTATTTGTTTTTTCATTAAATAGCTTGCACTACCAGAAAACTAGAGTTCAGAGTTGAATTCAGCATTTGAAGACTGCAGAATGTAGTTTTAATGTTTTTTTTCCCCCATAAAACTGCACTAAGTCAATATACAGTAATACAAGGAAAGGGAAGGTACAAATACGATTGTCCTGGCTTAATTCAAACAGCCATCTGCGTGTGCCCACTGAATGTTTCACAATTAGTTCTCTGCAATGATTGTAGTGCTGAAGTCTTGGTCCCCTTTCGTTTATCAAAATGTAGGTAATATTCATAGTGCCTTATTTTGATTACTTTTCTACTGCAACCTGAATTATTATTATAAATTGATTCCCCAAACTTGAGTAAATGATATAATAGTATGTAAAGGAGAGAAGCAGTCATTGCATAAAATGTAGATCTGTTTATCATTGCCTATGGTGTATTGTCATTTGACTGAACAAAATATACACATGTGTTAACTGTATGTACGGCTGTCATATCCAGTGATACTGCCATATTTATGTAGTGATGTACAATTTGGTGTTCTAGCCAGACTCCCAAATTTTGTGATTTTTTTTCTTCCCTCTGATTTGCAGTTTCTCCTTTGTTCTGTGGGAGAGGAGGAAGCACCTTTTAATTATGTGGGATAGAGGGAAAATTGGATGGTAAGACATTGCAAATCTTGTAAATATGTGCAACTGTTTTAATAAAGGCATGTACTACAAACCAAACTCAGAACAGACTTTGTGAGAAGTAAAAACAGAAACCCAAGTTATAGAGGATGGTGGAACAGATAAATAATGCACAATAAACAATTGGTTATTAATCTGGTCTGATTTGTGACTTATTTTCAAAATATTTAAATCCATTTTAGTGCATGGGTTGTAGAAATGGCAGCAAAACAGCTCAGTTTGTGGTATCTTAAGTATTTAAGCTTTTTTTTAGGCAAACAGACTTTTGTTGCATGATAGTTTTAAGTATTTGCAATTTTCCCACTTGGTACTTGTTTATTTGACCAAAATGTTTGCATTGTTTGCATTTGTATTGCATGTCTACATGTAATTTTATCATCTTTGGCTATTTCAAAGATTGCCAAACCCATGTCAAAAACACTTCTTGCTCAGTGAATATATAATAATAATAATCCTTGCATTTGATATAGCGCTTTTCACGTCGAGAGGACATCCCAAAGCGCTTCACAGAACAACTGTAAAGTGAATTGACTGTATATTTGTGGGCGAACGCGGCAGCCAATTGCGCACAGCAGTGTCCCACAAACAGTCGTAGATTGAAAATGACCAATTTATTATTGTTTTTTTTTTTTTGGAGGGATTATTATTAGGCGTGTGGAGTAAGGAAACTTGCCCAAGGTTTCGCCCTGACTGGAATTGAACTCAGGTCTCTCGCTTGCAAAGCGAGTGCTCTAACCACTGAGCTACAGGACTCCACAATATTGCAAACATTTTTTGCCAGTTTTTGCTTATTAGCCCTCCAGAGTTAATATCTTTTCTGCATCTGTCCAAAAATTACAGAAGCAGTACTTGCAGAGAGATGAGTGTGTAGCATTTCAGTTCTATATCATAGTGTGTTTCTTCAAATGGATTTAAACATCGTATCCACTATTGAAACAGTACCTTAAGGACAAAAAAAAAACCTCAAGTCAAGCTGAAAGAAATTGTTGTATTCAGTCTGGTGAGAAATTGTTCTTAAGCAGTTCAGAAATATGCAAGACGTGTGACTCAGGCAATGTACATCCCAGATATGCATGACAAGAAGGCGTACACCTTTTGGTTCAGATATTTGTATTCCTCTACCGTTATACGTGAGTCCAGCTCAATTGGCTTTGGGGTGCTATAAAAGGAAGTCTGTTCCATCCTAATGGGATAATAATAATAATAATCCTTGCATTTGATATAGCGCTTTTCATGTCTTCTAGATGCCTCAAAGCCCTTCACAGAATATACTGTAAAGTGAATTGACGGTATATTTTGTGGGGAAGTAGGGTGAAAGACTGCTAATGGACATGGGAGTGCAGGAAAGGTTTATTTTGTGGAATTGTTGGAGAGTGGAGATACATTTCTGTCATTTCTATTTTGACATTACAGTGGAATTTGTACAATCCCAGTGTATCAACAGTTACACAGTGCCTCATGTTACTCAAAAAAAATTGTGGTCATTCACTCCATGACTATTTGTGGGACACTGCTGTGCTCAATTGGCTGCCATGTTCGTCCACAAAATTCACAGTCAATCCACTTTGTTATATTCTGTGAAGGACTTCGAGACATCTCAAGAGCATGATAAGGCGCTATACCAAATGCACGGATTATTATTATTATTATCCTAGATTTAATATTGGCCCACTGCACTGAAGGTGTTCCCTATATTTCAAAGTGTTTTGTTGTAAGCTGATTTAGAAAGATGCTTGTGTATATTTCCAATCAGAATGACAATGCATAAGAAAGGGTATGTAATAGTTTGAAACCCTCAACTTATTTGTATATACATAATAAATAGTTTGCATTTATATAGCAACTTTCACGTCAGGAGGATGTCCCAAGACACTGAAATATACATATTCCTAAAACAAAATTGTACTATGAATTTCCCAGCACAAATTAATGACTGATTAATAATGGTCACAAGTCCAGATTCTGTAAATATATCTGATTTTGTTCTGGCTATTAATGGCAAATTCAATCCCAAATTATTTTTATTAATAGCTAGAATAAGATTATGGAAAAGTAGATTAATTTTAAAATGTATTCTTAAATTCAAAGCTCCTTATGAAAGCCTTCCTGTTGATGGCTATAATTTTAATTAATTATCACAGATTCACATCCAATAAAACATTGACTTTTTTGTTTTTCAGTATTTACTTGGTTTCAAAAGATGTCTGTGGGTAATGATCTTTTCACAGAGTTATCTTCAGAATCTGAGCCCCTATTGTTTTTTTTATTTTGCAAGAGTGTTTTTTCAGATGGACAGGCATCCATTCTTTTACTTACTTTTGCTTTTGTGCTGTTGATACTCAGGGCCGGTATGAGATGCACTGTGTTCTAACAAATGTAATCCAAATGTCAGAAGTTGGAACTGAAAAAGAAATACAGTAAGCGCTCCGAGACACTGCCCGACGTGAAGTGCGCTATTTAAATGCAAGTTGTTGTTCAACCACAGTACTAACTAGAAATTAAATGTATTATCCAGGTTTATCTGTTTTGTGTCTTTGGGAACCTTTTGTCATTGTCCAAGGCTGCGTGAAACAAGGCAGTTGCACCTTTGTGTTTATGCTTTGCTGTTTAAACTTAATAGAAAAGAATGTGTTCATAAGCTGTCAGAATCATTGCAGAGTGCCATTTGATTAGAATAGTCTATTTCTGTTGATAGCTATGCCAAAAAGTGTGGTTGTTTTTATATGCAGATAAGTACTTTTTAATTCTACTGTGAAGATCTGTTTGCTTACGGAAGTAGTTGCTGCTGAAAGAAATAATTTTTAAAAATAAAACAAAGTCTGTTTTTGGAGGTTGAGGTAAAATGGGAATGGCCTCCTGCAAAACTTCCATTGTTCTTAGTCATTTAGGTGAATATTTACATGGAAGAAATCCTACTTATTTCTATGAAAGTTTAAGAGAATCATTGTACATCTAAGAGGATCATTTCAATACTTTCTATTTACTAATTATGTGAGTCTAGCCAGTGGAAATGTCATTCTCAATTTTCTTGAGATGACCAAAATGACCTAACTGCTGTTTGTAAATGCTCTTGTTATATAAATCAGATAAACATAATTTTCGTTCCTGAATTAGGTTCTGCATAAAATACTTTTTTGGTCATTTTCTCATTTTGTTCATTAGAACAGGCTGGAAGAATTGTCTTTTCAACCTCTCTCAACTTCTCAACTCCCACCACCATACACAATTTCACAGATTACATACTTTAAAGCAACTGATTAACAGTAGAGGAGCTGTGAGCAACATTGGACAATACTGGAATAATTTTGGTTCCATTGTGCTCACATTAGCAAACAGCAATGGTGAATTCTAATTGCAAGTATTGGAAATTAAGAATCCTTGTATTGAAAAGATATTTCTGTACCTTTTTTGCAAAAAAAATCATTTCATTATACATGAAAGTAGGAAGAGTTTGGGAATCTGAACTTGGTCTGCTAGTTTTTATGGAAAAATAGATTTGTAATTCTCAAGAGTGTTATAACGATAGAATTTGTTAAAGGTCAAATTTTCTACCATGCAGTGTTCTAATAGTTTTGGTTGAAAAACAACAGTGAGAAACAATAGGCCCAATAGTGAGACAGATGTAGTGTGATTTTTAAGCTACCAAGTACAATTAAACTATTACAAACTTTCCATCTTATTATATTCCTGCTCCTGACACATGCTCTATTACAATTGCACACTGTAGAATGAAATTCTTCATTTGACTTGGTTTGGTTCTAATGAACCTGCAGTTTCTATCAGGCCGTGTTATAATGTGCCACCCACCTGGATCTGTTTGTCCCTGTGTCACCAAACATTCCCAGCATCATTCCAGCATATACACTTGCATATATGCTCAAAGATATTTCTTCTTGCTCCTTTAATCTCTAGCAAAGGACTTGAAGTTGAGAGAGGTTGAAAGGTTTATACCATACAATATATATTATATAGCCCCTTTCGCGTTGGGAGGATGAAGGACATCCATACTGGGGTGGGATCTGAGGGGGTTTTGCGATTACCAAAAGCGATCAAAGAGGTACTCGAGGGTGGAGCTCCAGAGTGTTATAGTATTTGATTCCCTAAATAAGCTACTTTGGTGGTGATGGGGGAGGTGGTGGTGGGGTTGTAATTGTGGTTTGACTGTATAATAGCAGCTGTCAGGATATTGGATGTTAAGAAGATGTAAAAACAGATTGTGTCTTTGTCATCTCTCAGTCTTGTTTAAACCAGAAAAGTTGATGTCTTGTCAGTGGGTTGGGGCTGGTGGTTGGGGTTGAAGTGTGCGTTTTTGACTGTTTTCCCCTTTCTGTAAACGTGCTTTTTCAAAGTGTGTAGTTACTAGATGCCGAGTTTCAGATGTATTGAATATTCTCACCTATTAAAAGTTTTAGGAGCTGAATTGCTCTGATGTAGGAAATGATGTGTGAAACCTTCAGTGTAAGTGTGTGCTTTTAGTTCCCTCAAAAAACAATTTTATATAAAAATACTGTTCTGTTCTTTTTTGCAGGTAGCATGTTCTAACATTTTTATAAAAGTATGTTGCACAAACTTAGAACAATCAAATATTTCCCAATCAGATTAAGTTGCTCAACTTGCGCAAGCCTTTGTGTTTCAGGATGAGGGGTGGTGGGTATGGTTTATGTGTCTCATTTGGCCTCTACATGTGTGTTTATAGAGTTGCGACTAATGATTTCTTGGATTGCTGCCTGGTAATACAGTTGGCGAGAAACATGCCGCCTTTTCTAGAAGTTGCAGACGTAGGTATGTCTTTGGCTATTTCCACCGGAGAAATCCAGAGGTACTTGTGCAAGTCCTGGGATTGTTGGGCCAAAATACATATTTATACAGTATTGAAATTCGATGGAGAACTTGGACACATGTCCCTACCCACTGATGGATCAATGATGGATCAATAATGACATAGTGAAATTGATCTTTCCTGAACACAATCTAGATTGTGAGCAAGTAATGTTGGACAGGCAATTTTACTCTTTCCATGTTTTTGTGAATGTGTTCAATTGCAGTTTGGCATGATTAAGCAAAACACAGTCGATTCACTTTACAATATATTCTGTGAAGCACTTTGAAACATCTCAACAACGTGATAAGGCGC